ACCTTAGCGGAAAAGCTTTCAGTTTTTCTCCATTGAGAATGATATTTGCGGTGGGTTTTTCATAGATGGCTTTGATAATATTGAGGTATGTGCCCTCTATCCCTACACTTTGAAGAGTTTTGATCAGGAAGGGATGCTGTACTTTGTCAAATGCTTTTTCAGCATCTATGGAGAGTATCATATGGTTCTTGTTCTTTCTTTTATTAATGTGTTGTATCACATTGATTGATTTGCGGATGTTGAACCAACCTTGCAGCCCTGGAATAAATCCCACTTGGTCGTGGTGAATAATCCTTTTAATGTACTGTTGAATCCTATTGGCTAGTATTTTGGCGAGAATTTTTGCATCTGTGTTCATCAAGGATATTGGTCTGTAGTTCTCTTTTTTGATGGGATCCTTGTCTGGTTTTGGGATCAAGGTGATGCTGGCCTCATAAAATGAGTTTGGCAGTTTTCCTTCCATTTCTATTTTTTGGAACAGTTTCAGGAGAATAGGAATTAGTTCTTCTTTAAATGTTTGGTAGAATTCCCCCGGGAAGCCGTCTGGCCCTGGGCTTTTGTTTGTTTGGAGATTTTTGATGACTGTTTCAATCTCCTTACTGGTTATGGGTCTGTTCAGGCTTTCTATTTCTTCCTGGTTCAGTTGTGGTAGTTTATATGTCTCTAGGAATGCATCTATTTCTTCCAGATTGTCAAATTTGTTGGCGTAGAGTTGCTCATAGTATGTTCTTATAATTGTCTGTATTTCTTTGATGTTCGTTGTGATCTCTCCTCTTTCATTCATGATTTTATTTATTTGGGTCCTTTCTCTTTTCTTTTTGATAAGTCTGGCCAGGGGTTTATCGATCTTATTAATTCTTTCAAAGAACCAGCTCCTAGTTTCGTTGATTTGTTCTATTGTTTTTTTTGGTTTCTATTTCATTGATTTCTGCTCTGATCTTTATGATTTCTCTTCTCCTGCTGGGTTTAGGGTTTCTTTCTTGTTCTTTCTCCAGCTCCTTTAGGTGTAGGGTTAGGTTGTGTACCTGAGACCTTTCTTGTTTCTTGAGAAAGGCTTGTACCGCTATATATTTTCCTCTCAAGACTGCCTTTGTTGTGTCCCACAGATTTTGAACCGTTGTGTTTTCATTCTCGTTTGTTCCCATGAATTTTTTCAATTCTTCTTTAATTTCCTGGTTCACCCATTCATTCTTTAGAAGGATGCTGTTTAGTCTCCATGTATTTGGGTTCTTTCCAAATTTCCTCTTGTGATTGAGTTCTAGCTTCAGATCATTGTGGTCTGAAAATATGCAGGGAATGATTCCAATCTTTTGATAACGGTTGAGACCTGATTTAGGACCAAGAATGTGATCTATTCTGGAGAATGTTCCATGTGCACTAGAGAAGAATGTGTATTCTGTTGCTTTGGGACGAAATGTTCTGAATATATCTGTGATGTCCATCTGGTCCAGTGTGTCATTTAAGGCCTTTATTTCCTTGTTGATCTTTTGCTTGGATGATCTGTCCATTTCAGTGAGGGGAGTGTTAAAGTCCCCTACTATTATTGTATTACTGTCGATATGTTTCTTTGATTTTGTTATTAATTGGTTTATATAGTTGGCTGCTCCCACGTTAGGGCATAGATATTTAAAATTGTTAGATCTTCTTGATGGACAATTCCTTTGAGTATGATATAGTGTCCTTCCTCATCTCTTATTATAGTCTTTGGCTTAAAATCTAATTGATCTGATATAAGGATTGCCACTCCTGCTTTCTTCTGATGTCCATTAGCATGGTAAATTCTTTTCCACCCCCTCACTTTAAATCTGGAGGTGTCTTCGGGTTTAAGATGATTTTCTTGTAGGCAACATATAGATGGGTTTTGTTTTTTTATCCATTCTGATACCCTGTGTCTTTTGATTGGGGCATTTAGCCCATTAACATTCAGGGTAAGTATTGAGAGATATGAATTTAGTGCCATTGTATTGCCTGTAAGGTGACTGTTATTGTATATTGTCTCTGTTTCTTTCTGATCTACTACTTTTAGGGTCTCTCTTTGCTTAGAGGACCCCTTTCAATATTTCCTGGAGAGCTGGTTTCGTATTTGCAAATTCTTTCAGTTTTTTTTTTTTTTTGTCCTAGAAGCTTTTAATCTCTCCTTCTATTTTCAATGATAGCCTAGCTGGATATAGTATTCTTGGCTGCATGTTTTTCTCGTTTAGTACTCTGAATATATCACGCCAGCTCTTTCTGGCCTGCCAGGTCTCTGTGGATAAGTCTGCTGCCAATCTAATATTTTTACCATTGTACGTTACAGACTTCTTTTCCCGGGCTGCTTTCAGGATCTTCTCTTTGTCACTAAGACTTGTAAATTTTACTATTAGGTGACGGGGTGTGGATCTATTCTTATTGATTTTGAGGGGGGTTCTCTGAACCTCCTGGATTTTGATGCTTATTCCCTTTGCCATATTGGGGAAATTCTCTCCAATAATTCTCTCCAATATACCTTCTGCTCCCCTCTCTGTTTCCTCTTCTTCTGGGATCCCAATTATTCTAATGTTGTTTCGTCTTATGGTGTCACTTATCTCTCGAATTCTCCCCTCATGGTTCAGTAGCTGTTTGTCCCTCTTTTGCTCAGCTTCTTTATTCTCTGTCATTTGGTCTTCTATATCGCTAATTTTTTCTTCTGCCTCATTTATCCTAGCAGTGAGAGCCTCCATTTTTTATTGCACCTCATTAATAGCTTTTTTGATTTCAACTTGGTTAGATTTTAGTTCTTTTATTTCTCCAGAAAGGGCTTTTATCTCTCTGGAGAGGGTTTCTCTAATATCTTCCATGCCTTTTTCAAGCCCGGCTAGAACCTTGAGAATCGTCATTCTGAACTCTGGATCTGACATATTACCAATGTCTGTATTGATTAGGTCCCTAGCCTTTGGAACTGCCTCTTGTTCTTTTTTTTGTGGTGAATTTTTCCGCCTTGTCATTTTGTCCAGATAAGAGTATATGAAGGAGCAAGTAAAATACTAAAGGGGTGGCAACAACCCCAGAAAAATATGCTTTAGCCAAATCAGAAGAGATCCCAAATCGTGAGGGGGGAGAAAGGGGATAAAAAGAGGTTCAGAAAGAAAAAAAAAAAAAGAAACAATTAAAAAAAGAAAATCAATAAAGAAAAAATATAAAAAGGAAAAAATATATATATATTAGATAAACTAGTTAAAAAATGTTAAAAAAAGAAAAGGGTAAAAGTTAAAAAAATTTAGCAGAAGAAGAAAAAAAAATTGAAAAAGAAAAAAAATTAAATTAACTGCAAGGCTAAAGAATCATGGGGAGAAAGCCATGAGTTCCGTGCTTTGCTTTCTCTTCCTCTGGAATTCCACTGCTCTCCTTGGTATTGAAACCGCACTCCTTGGTAGGTGAACTTGGTCCTGGCTGGGTTTCTTGTTGATCTTCTGGGGGAGGGGCCTGTTGTAGTGATTCTCAAGTGTCTTTGCCCCCGGCGGAGCTGCACCGCCCTTACCCGGGGCCGGGCTGAGTAATCCGCTCGGGTTCGCTTTCGGGAGCTTTTGTTCCCTGAGCGCTTTCCGTAGAGTCCGGAGGACGGGGATGAAGATGACAGCCTCCCGGTGTCCGGCCTGGAGGAGCCGAGAGCCCGGGGCCCCACTCCTCAGTGCGCCCTCAGAGAACAGCGCCGATTTACTCCCGTCACCCTGCCTCCGGCCGCGCTCCGAGCTGACCGAGCCTGCGACCGGTTCAAGGTAACCCCGAGCGGAGAGTCACTCCTCGGCTCTGTCGCTGTAGCCGGCTTCCCCGTTCTAATACCTGTAAGCTCTGCGACACTCAGACACCCCCGATCCTTCTGTGACCCTGCGGGACCTGAGGCCACGCTGACCCCGTGCGGGCTTCACCCCGGTTAAGCCTCTGGAGCGATGTCCCTCAGCGGAACAGACTTTTAAAAGTCCCGATTTTGTGCTCCGTTGCTCCGCCGCTTGCCGGGAGCCGGCCCCTCCCCCCGCGGTCTATCTTCCCGTCGCTTTGGATTCACTTCTCCGCCAGTCCTACCTTGCAGAAAGTGGTTGATTTTCTGTTTCTAGAGTCGCTGTTCTTCTCTTCGATCTCCCGTTGGATTTGTAGGTGTTTGCAATCTTTAGATAAGCTATCGAGCTGATCTCCCGCTACCTGAAGTAGTCTCAGCTGCTACTTCTCCGCCATCTTGACTCCTCCCCCCCAGCTTCTTTTTTAAAAAGATTTTATTTACTTATTTGACAGAGAGAGCGAGAGGGCACAAGCATGCAGAGCAGCAGAGGGAGAGGCGGAATCAGGCTCCCCACCAAGCAGGGAGCCCATGTGGGGTTCAATCCCAGGACCTCAGGACCATGACCCAAACCAAAGGCAGTTGCTTAACCAACTGAGCCACCCAGGCACCCCTACCTAGCTTCTTAATAGATGAAAATTAAGATAATCAATTTAAAGAATTATTTTTCTTTTCCAATAACAAATTTTAAAAATCTAAAAAATTTTTAAATTTAATCAAAAAATTATCACAATTTGCTTCTAGGTGATATTTTATCATTTCTTTTATAAGAAAATTACAGAATTTTTTTTACAAAAGTTTGAGTTTACAACTTTCTACCTTTTCTTTTCATACATTTTATTTATGTATGTTATAATGCATTCTTACTTTTTATTTAAGAGTTAATCACCTTTTAAAGAAAAGTGTTTAAAATGAAAAAGAAAAGTCCCTATATTTACCCATGTTTTTACTGTTTCTGTTGTTTTCCCTTTCTGTTTGCAGATCGAGGTTTCCAGCTAATATAATCTACGTCTTCTTGAAGGACTTCTCCTAACATGTCTTACACGGCAGGTCTCTTTGTGAAGGATTATTGCAATTTATGTATGCATGAAAAAGTTATACAAAGCAAGTTTTTAACATTGCCTTAAGTTTGTTAATTTCAAAAACCTCACTGCTGGAATAAAGAGTTTAATACAGGTATACAGAAAAGGAAGCCCACATGAAGTTTTCACTAGGATGAAATCGGATGAGCGTCGCAGTTCTCATAATCCTCTTCACAGAAGAATGCAATTTCAGTTTCAGTGGGGATTCTCACAGCTTTGAGAGTGCTGCCTTCTTTTAACAGGGTTCTGACATTTTTCAAACACAAGTTAATTTGCCTTTGATTTATGTGCTTGATGAGTTATCTTCAGTTTATCACATTTATAAATTCTGAATGGTGGTGCCGGCTTGTCCTTAAAGAGACATCTTGTTTTAGAAATATTATAAGTTCCCTTATAGCTTGGTCCAAATTAACTCCATGATATACTACAGGTTTGAAACTGCAATGCTCAAATGAATGAATGAGACAAATGCTCACTTCTCCAGAAGTCATGTGAAGAAATTCCTTTTGATACAAACTTTCATTCACAAGAAAGTTCCCTAGGGAATCTCTCAATCCGTGCACAAGAGAAACTCTGTTAATATATTTTGCCCATTTGGTTTTACTTTGACACTAAGCAAATGAAGTCTGTGAATAGTCAAAATTGGTATCCCAATATTCTTTTCTGAAGAATAGCTTTGATGGATATGTAATTGTAGGCTGATAGATTTTTTTTTTCCTTTCGGTGCTTTAAAGATATTGCACTTTTATTTTTTTTCTTCTATTGTTACTAGTGAGAAATCTATACCTTTGTTCTTCTGAACATAGGTATATATTTTCTAAGTGATTCTGAATTTTATCACTAGTTTAAGCAATGTGATTATCATGTGACCTGGTATAATTTTCTTCATGTTTCTTGTACTTAAGATTCTTTTAACTTTCAGGTCTACATGTTTGTAATTTTCACCAAATTTGGATATGTTTTAACTACTTTTTCTTCAAATATTTTTTTCAGTCCCCCCTCTCCACCCTATTCTTAGGGGACTCTAATTAATGTATACTAAGGGTGCCTCGGTGGCTCAGTGGGTTAAAGCCTCTGCCTTTGGCTCAGGTCATGATCCCAGAGTCCTGGGATCGAGCCCCACATCAGGCTCTCTGCTCAGTGGGGAGCCTGCTTCCTCCTCTCTCTCTGCCTGCCTCTCTGCCTACTTGTGATCTCTGTCTGTCAAATCAATAAATAAAATCTTTCAAAAAAAAAAAAAAGATAACATTCTTAACTGCCTAATACCCAATGTTATGAAAACCTTTGATTCTTATACTGTGTCTGTTTTCAGAAGTTTCATCTAGAGTGAGTAAATCTCATCCTAGTTACTCCATCCTGGCCAAATGAAGAAAGTTTTTCAGAATAGTTTTATATTAATTATTTCTCAATTTCATATACTTGCAGCATGTGTAATACTTATACCTGAGCCTTCTATGGGCTGGGGGGGGGGGTTATTTATTTATTTATTTTTAAAATTTCTTTTCAGTGTTCCAAAATTCATTGTTTATGCACCACACCATACTTTATATGGAAAACCCAAAAGACTCCACCCCCAAACTACTAGAACTCATTCGGCAATTCAGAAATGTGGCAGGATACAAAATCAATATGCAGAAATCAGTTGCTTTTTATACACTAACAATGAAAACACAGAAAGGGAAATTAGAGAATCGATTCCATTTACTACAGCACCAAGAACCATAAGATACCTGGGAAAAACCTAACCAAAGAGGTGTAGGATCTGTACTGAGGAACTACAGAACTCCCATGAAAGAAATTGAAGAAGACACAAAAAGATGGAAGACCATTCCATGCTCATGGATCGGAAGAATAAACATTGTTAAAATGTCTATACTGCCTAGAGCAATCTATTCTTTCAAGGCCATTCTGATCAAAATTCCACCAGCATTTTTCAATGAGCTGGATGGAGCAAACAATCCTAAAATTTGTATGGAATCAGAAGAGACCCTGAATTGCTAAGGAAATGTTGAAAAAGAAAAACAAAACTGGGGGCATCACGTTACCCGATTTCAAGCTTTACTACAAAGCTGTGATCACCAAGACAGCATGGTACTGGCACAAAAACAGACACATAGACCAGTGGAACAGAGTAGAGAGCCCAGATATGGACCCTCAATTCTATGGTCAAATAATCTTGGACAAAACAGGAAAAAATATACTGTGGAAAAAAGACAGTCTCTTTAATAAAGGTGCTGGGGGGGGCTTGATTTCTTAAGGGTGACTTTTTTCTACCTTTGTTGGATTCTTGAGGTGAATGAAAACAAATTTACACTTCAAGTTCCAAGGATGGTATGCAGAAGTATTTTTTCCAGTTTACTTTTCAAAACCTGGAGTTATCTGATAATCCCATATAATGGGATGTGGCTTCAGTCTGCTGTGTTGGGAAAATCATTTCACTTAAATTTGCAACTTGTTTTAGGTTTCTTGGCCATACAAAAAACATATATCCTTTTTCAAAGTATATGGAGTATAACTTCATTTATGATCTATTGTTTTGTTCTGGTTTCATCTCTCTTTAATATCAAAATATATCAATTTCATACTGGAATCAATATGTTATGCTTATTTTGGAAAAATTTGATTTTACTGGAGAGGTCACCATGCTTTGTTTGAAAATGACATGAAAACCTCTCAGGGTTCATGCCATGTCTTTCAAAATTTTGTGAGATAGGTCTAGGCCAGATGGTTTCAGACAATCTCTCACTGTACTCTTTTTTCTTTTTCTAATCCTTAAGAAAGTTATCACACTTTATATTCTATTATTCAAGCTCACAAACCCTCACATTCTATATTGGCAGCGGAGCCTTGTTCACTATGTACATTTGAAATATTCTTTATAGTATTTAAATTACTGTCATTTTGAGATACTGATTTATCTTTTGTGAATCGTTTATATAAGGCAATTCATATAATGTAATAGCAAAAAGGTAAATTCAGCAGGCATAACAATAGCAAACAAATGCTGTAAAAGTAGGTTAACCATTTTAAAGTTCTCCTTGATTATTGAATATTTTAAAAGACTGATGAATGCAGTCCTAAATCATCCACTGTGTTGAAGGACATGATTAAAATAAAGAATAGTGTATTTCTCTACAAAATATGAACAATCTTATATTCCAAATGTATAGTGTATTTGTATGAATTTTTTTTCTGAAATTGCCAAGAGCCTGCTGAGTACTCCATAGTCTTACAAGGATTCTGAGTTGTACATTAGCTACATTTTAAGAAATGCTGCCTTCAAAAATTCAATAAAACTATAGACGCTCTCAAAAAAATTTGCACAAATGTCCCTGAAATCCATTTGCAGACCTCAGGCTAGGAATCACTCAGATGTTTACTTTGATTAAGGCACAGATACTCCAATAAATGTGTTATAGTCAAGATAACAGAATCTTTTGCCCCAAAGCCTAATAATTTCTTAAGAAGCAACTACTTGGGGTTATTTTTTTCAAAAAGGGATTGTGACATGGCAAACAATTCCAATTCCATGGGTTGTCCAGTATGAAAACCAAAATGAAAAAAATCTGGTACAGCCATATATCAGGCATTGTGGCAGTCAAATACCACTCATAGGCAATTGACTATCATTTATATGTGCTCAGTTTTGGAGAAATAGCTAAAGCTCTTTAAACATTACTAGACTAGATATTACTGGAAAGCCTGCATGATAAAATCCAGAACACTAGAAAGACCAGAAATACATTTAAATCAGGCAATGATGCTTTGACAAAACAAAAACACAAAACCTGATATGAATCTTAGTGTTTTGGCATTGCCACTAGTGTAGACCCTCTTGGAAATGAGTCTTGTTTAGACAAGAATAGAAAGAGCACATTTAGCCAAACTGATTCACAATTCAGATGTTACAGCTTTTAAACTCACTAGTTACTATCCACATCTATGATCCTTTTTAAAAGCAAAAAGATAATATCCTTTTCAAATGGCATTGCAATCAGATAACTTTAAGTGAAAGTAAAAACCAATAATACTTCTTTTAAGGTTGAAATTAATTTGAGTGTAAAAATAACAAATAACGATGCTTTGGGTAGGAATGGTTCAAGATTTATCTAACTAAATGTGGTAGAATTTGGTTTAAGATGGTTGTTCAAACCCCTCAGCCTACATCCTTCAGAACCTGAGTTACAGTGAGACCTGTCCCATGTACTGACCTCATATCAGCTTACTTTCACAAAATATTATGATCCTTTATTAATATCTCCAAATGCAGGTGGACATCTTTCAAAGATACCTTTGAGAGATATCAAGGAATAATTTCCCTACCTACCAGACGTAACACAGTACTTCTGATAATTCATGGAAATGTTACCATCTCAATAGTACTGTCCTTCTCAAGGTAGGGTGAAAATTGAATCAAGACTCGAAAATTAAAGTCAGTACTGCAGTCTTTACAATACAAGACTATTAACTTGTAGACCCTCTAACTCAGTATCTCACAGCTAGATAATTACCATATCCTGGTTACAGTGGGAAATTGCCAAATCTCTATTCCTTGATGACTTTTTAGAGCAGTATCAATAAAGCATTTATAAATAAGCACAGATTTTCCCCATTGGCTTCACTCAAAGTCTAAAACTCCCTTAGTATGAGCAAAAGGGACTGAAGAGTTTTAAATATTTGCTAGCAGCAGGCACAATGTTCCAGAGACTGCGGACATAATTGAGAAAAAAAAAATCCAAACTACTCCATCTTGACTAATTCAAGAAACTATCGGAGGAATGCATATAGCATATACAAGACTTAAAAATATAGTGGTATAGCCAGGGAAGTGCGATTTGAGCTATTAGATTGAGAGAGGGAGAAAACACTGATTTATCAGCATGATCAGAATGCAGCCTTTTGCAGTGGAAAGCACCCTGGATTTAGGGCAGAAGATCTGAGCCCCAGCTCAGCTCTAGCATTATCCATATGGCCCAAGGCAAGTGACTTATATTCTCTGATTCAGTTCCCACAGAAATAATAAAATCCTCCTAGGACAGTTTCTAGAGATGATGATTTTTAAAATAAAATAAAAGCACCTGGGGTCTAAAAAGATGGGTTTTAATCTTAGCTCTGAAATGTCTGATTGATGTCTTTGAGTATGTCATTTAACCTCTCTCAACTTCAGTTTCTTCATACGCTGTGTAAAGACTGCTGGTGTTCAGGGGGACTGATGGAAAGCAAACATGCACCAGATGCATACCAACGGGATTGAGACTTGAAGAATGAGAGCCAGAAATGACCTACACTAAATGGACAACAGACACAAGTGCATTATACGTGCAAAAAGGATGTTTCCTGAAAACTGAGGAGTCATTTGTAACTTTGTGAGTGTACCTTTCCTGGGAACTTGTAGTCCTTTTCATTTCAGATAGCTTAGAGACAAGCTGTTTAATAAAACACAATGTTCTGTGATCTTTGCAGAGCACAAATGGGATCCATGCAGAGAAGG